CTACAAGGCTTGAACTGAGGACCACTTGGAAACACACTAAAGACCCGGGCCAGTCCAACTAACACCCCTTGCCTCGTATATCAATGAAGTTAATTACGACAAATTTTGTATAACTAACATTTATGAGACCATGGTAGAAATAGATTTTTATGTTTAGCGGGTGCTACCAACTTAAAATTATAGGAATTTCTTTTAAAATATATTTATGATCTATGCATGTTTCAAGGAGTTGTACATGCGTAGAGAGGGCTAAGCCTGTGGTAAATCATTAGTTGGCATGTCATGCATGTTCACCTTGCCATATTATTAGGCCAAATAAAAATGTTAGGCATTCTCCAACTCATGAGGGGCTAAACCCAAATTTCCCCCCTTCAAAAAGTAACTATCTGGGTTTTGCCCAGACTCAAATCGTTTTTTCTCTCAACCCTTCGGACTCAAATTTTAAGTCCGCAACTTTATTAAATTGTTTAAGAATGGTTTAAGTCTAATTTTTTTTTTTGTGGATAACTTTTCTTCATTCAATCTTTTTAAATAACTTCATAATTAAATTTTTTGAACAATTTGACCTAAAAAACTTAAAATTCCACAAATATAATTTTATTTCAAAAGAAAACACACAATACTTCAAGTTCACCATACATGAATGCCAATAGGAATAAACTAATAACAACCATCGTTGGGGCTTGGATAATAGTCCCCTGAGTTATCTTCAGGATTAACGGTAGACTGTTGGCCCCCTGCATGTTCTTGCATAATTTTAAATTGTTTATCTCGCCAATACTTCTTCTTTCTTGGAGTAAATTTGGACACGTCCATGGACATTATTTTTTGTTCTTGGGCTTCCTTGTCTTGTTGCTTCTGATACACATAAGCATCAGCTTGATCTTGGACAAACTTGTCCAATGTTTCCAAGTACTTATCACTTTTTTGGTCAACCATCTTCCCTTTTTTTTTTTTTTTTTTTTTTTTTTTTTTTGCAGCCTTCTGTTTATCTCGCCCCTCAGGCCTTGGACTAGGCATGGTGATTTCGTCTGCATCGTTATCCAAATTCACCATACTTGCACTAGCTCTAGAAAAGCGTTGTGCGGGAGGCTCATTTATATCGTTCCATTTTGGGCAATCTTTTAAGATTTCCCAAGCATGTTACAACTTGAAAGGCCTATTTGGAGGCTTATTATCATTAAGAAATATTGTTTTTGCATACACATCCTACGCATGAAAAAATAAATTTAAGTTTGGAATTGAATAAAATTACAAATCTAAATCTAAAGCTTTAATAAGAATGTTACTTACCACATCATGTAAATTTGAGCCACTTTGTGGGTTCGTATTGGCCTTAGTCAAGCATGCCATCCAAAGAGAACACTGTTGGTTGATAGTCTTGAACCGAGGAGCAATGGCTTGATATGTTCGTCACTCAGGTCCACTAATGCCCGGATCATTTTCCAGAAACTTTTGATATACAGCTTCCAAAATGTGTCACTTGCTTGATTGGTGCCAATAGCCCCATCTTCACTGACAGAAACCCACCCATTGCACAATGCCTCATCTTCTTCGGACCTCCAATTCACACCTCTTTGAGATTTTGTGGACATCTTCAACAAGAATGAAAAGAGATTGATGAGATTGACAAAGGAAAAATAAATTGAGAAATAGATAAAATATTTTTGGTAGATTATTTGAGAAATGGATGGGTATTTATAGAGTTTGGAGTGAGTTTTGGGGTTGGATCTAATCTAGATTAATTTAAAATATTATTTTGACCGTTGGATTTAAATTTCAGCCGTTGGATCTTTTTTTTTTTACCTTTAAAATAGCTTAGATTTAATCTAGATCGTTAATTTAAAGTTACTATTAGAATTTAAATATAAAAACACAGATTATTTGAATTGCAACGTCTCTTCGAGCTGGAAACAGCCAGCATGTGGACCCAATTGATACTATTTGATTTTTTTTTTTTTTTTTAAAGGAGACAGCCAAAGCCCAACGGCTTTCTCACCTAGTGCCGACACGTGGCCCATGCCACAGACAAGCCCATCAGAGCTGGTCCCAGTGTTTTTCTCATGCACATGGGCTCTGCCACCGCAGCGTTGGCTCCATTGAATAGTGTTGGGTCCAGGCAATACTTGGACTCATATTTGGGTCCAAATTTGAGTTTTCCCAAATTTTGGGTCCTTCATTTTCTTGGGTTGGGAGAGGTTTTGGGGGATATTTTGGGTTTGAGTCCTTGGGTTATGGCCTTAGGAACACCCAACATCCTTTTGCCGATGCGCTGCACCACCATGCAAGTCCGACTCCGACACAATCATATGTGATTTGTTGTTTTATTACTATTTCTTTTAATGCCTTAGCTTCTTGTTGAGGCAACTAACTATATATTCACATTCTTTTAGTAGGAAATAATATATGAGGTTATTTTCTTTCATATAAACCTTGAGGGAAAGATTTGAGTTGTTCATTCGACCCAAGTATTGCGAGTGTACACTTATGAGGGTCATAGGTTGTTGTATCCTGGAGGGTAGGGCGCCATACAACCTTGCTACACCAAGACATTGTCTCTAAGCGGCGAAATCTACTCTTAAGCACAGTGAATGACATGCCTCAACCTAAAACTATTATTCTACTCAAGTATCAATGGAGACCAACTTCTACATCCCAAAATATAAGTATTTTGTTGTAATTTCATTGATTTTATTTAATCGACTGTATCAATGTAAATTACAATTTTATAATATATATTTTCCGTGATGTTTTGCAGGAAAAGTAGCATCCTTCAACCAAATTCTACACCGAGAAGTCAAAAAGCTTGATGTCAAATATTATTTTAATATTTTTTAGTCATGGACTCCACTATCATTTACTCTCTTTTAAAACTTAACGCATCATAGGCCCCATTTGCTTTTAAAAATACAATAAAATAATATGATATTTGACATTTCGGGTGGAGTTAAATTTTTTCCAGTGTCAAATTACAGCCATCAAATACAAATTTAACATTTTGCATTTGACATCTCCCTTGGAGATGCTCTAATTGAAGGAAATGGGTTTAGGCCAACACATTTGTTGTAGAAACCTATGCTATAGAAAGAATGAAAATTGAAGATTAGAAAACACCAACTAGCTTTTAGTTTAGTGGTATTTTTCGATCCTAATGTTTTAAGAAGTCTCAAATTCGAAGTCTTCGGCTGAATTCTGCTACGAAGTCTGCTAAAACTTGGGCTTATATTGCAGCTTTTGGCTAGTAGAGGATGTCATATTGGCTTAGCTCTATAGCCCACTTCATGAGTCACTGAGAAGCGTCATGGCTGTGGAGGATTGATCTCAAAGGAAAGTCGGTCATGATGATTGTCACGACCCGACTCCCCTAGCACGATATTGTCCGCTTTGGGCCCCCCTCTCTGCCCTCACGGTTTTGTTTCTGGGAGCTCACGAGCAACTTCCCAGTGGGTCACCCATCTTGGGATTGCTCTAGCCTCCAACTCGCTTAACTTCGGAGTTCCTAAGAATCCGAAGCCCAAAAGGCCTCGTGCTAGGAAGAGAAGTGCCCACACATTTAAGCACTTCACCTTTCCCTCCCCGAGCGATGTGGGATTGCTCACCGTTCTTGTTTCCCCAAGACACGGGTCTTACAATGATGACTCAATGAGCTTGGTAGTAGGGTTGCAGCTTTCTTGCGGAAACTAAAAGTGCCAAAATGAGCTTCTCCAATTTTAGGTAGCAAGTCTCTGCATCGATGAGAGTTTTTGAAGTGTAGAATATTAGATGTTGGGCCCCCAGCTCTTCTCGAATGAGAGCTGAGCTAATAGCTGAGTTGGACACTGCTAGGTACACGAACAAGTCCTCACCAGGGACTAGCTTTGAGAGCAGGGGAGGTGAGGTGAGGTAAGTCTTCAGTTTCTAGAAAGCTGCTTCGCACTCCTCATCTCATTTGTCTCTTTGTCCTTTCTTCAAAGCTTTAAAGAATGGTTTGCACTTGTCGGTTGATCTCGAGAGGAATCAGTTGAGGGCCGCTGCTCTGCCCGTCAGACTTTGTATCTCCTTCACCATGGAGGGCGACTTCATCTCGAGAATGACTTTGATTTGACGTGGGTGTGCCTCGATATCTCGTTGCGTGACTAGGTATCCCAAGAATCGACCAGAGGATACAACAAATGTGCATTTACTTGAATTCAACTTCATGCGATACTGGCGGAGTAGACTGAATGCCTTGGCGAGGTTTTTGATGTGATCTGCACTCTTTGGGGCCTTAACCAGCATGTCGTCCAAGTAGACTTCTATAGTTTTGCCAATCTGCTCCTTAAAGATTTTATTCACGAGCCTTTGGTAGGTTGCCCCGGCGTTCTTCAGCCCAAAAGGCATGACCTTAGGTCCCTCTCTCGATGATGAAAGAAGTTTTTGACTTGTCATCCTCGTGCATCAGGATTTGGTTATAGCCGGAGTAGGCGTCCATGAAGCTGAGCAGCTGATTGCCAGAAGTGGAATCCATGAGTTGGTCGATTCTCGGCAATGGGAAGTTGTCTTTACGGCATGTTTTGGTTGAGGTCAGTGTAATCAACATCGACTCTCCATTTGCCATTTTCTTGTTTTGCCACCAGAACAACGTTAGCAAGCCAATCTGAGTAGGAGACCTCTTCGATAAAGCCGGCAACTAGGAGTTTGTCAATCTTGGCTTTGATGATAGCGACCCTCTCGAGAGTGAAGTTGCGTCTTTTTTGCGTTATTGGCTTGCTGCTAGGGTTGACGTGGAGTCGATGGCAAATGATGTTTGGGTCGATGCCAGGCATGTCTAACGGCGACCATGCGAACATGTCTTTGTTGTTATGGAGGAAGGTGGTTAGCTCCACCTTCTCGTCTGGGCTTAGGCGCTAGCCGATCCGTGCTTTTCTATCTGGCTGGTCAGGATCCAAGGGTATTAACTTGACGTCCTCCTTGGGTTTCCATCCTTCTTCAAGAAAGACCTCTGAATAGATTTCCTCGGCTTGGTCCTGACGCTTTGATTGCTATAAGGGAGCAAGATTCGATTGTTCAACCTCCTTCAGATCTGCTTGGCTCACAGGGACAAACTTCGCTTGTTTGCTTTTCTTCAGCCTTTGGGTGGAGCATTTCCTCGTCATTGCTTGGTCACTGTTGATTTGGCCGATACCGCCCCCAGGAATTGGGTACCAAATTTTATGATGTGTGGCGGAGGTGATGGCGTTAATCTTGTCGATCCATGGTCTGCCCAGAATGCCGTTGTAGGGTGAGACCTCATCAATGACCATGAATGTTTGTGAGCTGATTATAGGTGGGAAGTAGACGTCGAGATCTATCGTGCCCACGATAACTGCTGTTGCACCATTAAAGCCAGTCAATGATCTGGCTGATTTGTTGATCTTTTTCTCCAAGCTGATCTGTTGGATGATTGCCAACTGCAGGATATTGGCCGCGCTGCCCTCATCTGTGTGGATTCGGTTGACCACGGCCTGGGCGATTTGAATGCTAATGACAAGGGCATCGTTATGTGGCATGTAGAGGCCGATGAGGGCTTTCTTTTGGAAGCCAATCATAGGATCGTCCTCTACTGGTGCAAGATCGGTCGAGATTTGGGAGATCACAGTGCCCTGTTTGATCTTCCTCTTATTTTCCTTACTAGTCAGTCCAGACTCCTCGGAGTCAGCGAGGATTGTGTTAATCCTTATGACCTTCTGGGGCGGCTCCTTGGCGATGTCGCGATCTTCAATCCATTGGATGGCCTGCTTCGCAATGAATTCTGTGCAGTGACCTTTTCTCACGAGTTCTTCAAGGTGTGCTTTCCAAGTGAAGCAGTTCTTCGTAGTGTGTCCGTGCATCCCATGGAAGGCATAATATTTGCTAGTATCTCTCTTGTTCGAATCTCCTTTCAAGGGTTGCGGTCTTCTTACCTAAGGTTTGTCTTTCACTTGGGCTAAGATTTGATGTATGGGGATGGTGAACTTGGTGTAGTTCTCTCCTATCGCAGCGTCTCCTTGTCGGTGTGACCTGCACTTGTCCTTGTTCCTGTTGCTAAACTCGTCGCTTCTTTGGCCTACATGCTTAGTCTGTTGATCTTCCTACTTTGTAGACTTCTTTGCGGCGATTCGATCGTTATCCCAGAGCCCGTAGCATTTTGTGATAGTCAGCTCGAGATACAAGTCGTGTTCAGCTGGAAGACCTTTCTTGAAAGCATAGGAAGCAATTCGGTCGTCGCATCCTACAATGTTGGCCTTTTCTACTTTGAATCTCTTGATGTAATCTCAAAGGGATTTGTCGGGCTTCTTGCGCAGGTTGTACAAGTGGTCAGGGTTCTTCTTAATTGTCCGATAAGAGGTGTATTCTTTGGTAAAGACGTACGCTAGCTCCTTGAAGCTGCTGATCGACCTGGATGATAGAGTGTGGAACCAATCTTGGATTGCTCCTAACAAGGTCACCGTAAACACCTTGCACATCAGTGCATCGTCGCCCTTATGGAGGATCATGACACTTTTGAAGTGTTTTAGGTGGCTTTCGGGATCGAAATCCCCTTTAACATGTGTAAACGAAGGCGTTGAGAATCTTTTCGGGGGAGCAGCCTGCTCGATTTCGGGGGTGAAAGGCGTAGAGTTCACCAGGTCCATCTCCTTACGTAGTGCATCTTCAAAGTTTCCGCCGGTCTTCAAGTCTTGAAGTCGGTCATTCACAAGTTTCTCCATGTCTTCCGCACACATTGTTGGTCGTTCTCGTTGGCAACCTTCGCTATTTGGGCGACGCTAATTGACTTCCTCGTTGGTTTGCGAGGGTTGACATTCTCGTCTGCGCTGCCTAGGCGGCATGTTGGTAGAATGTGTTTGCGAAGGATCTTCTGTAGCTGGTCGACGAGAATTGACTCTTCGAGAGTGAGCAGCGGAGCACATTTCCTCACGATCTTCATTGTGAGGGTTGTCCAGTTGACCTCCCTGGGCGCCTAGCCTTTCGTGAATGCTCCTCTGCGAGTGGACAATTGAGCGCCTTTCTTCACGATCCTCGTTGTGATGGTTGTTTGGCTGACCTCCCTGGGAGCCTAACCTTTGATGTATATTTCCCTACGGGCCCAGGCGAGCGCGGATGTCAAGTCGTGGGCCCAGCCTTTCGAGCACATTGTTCCTTAAACTCAATCTGCTCTGAGTGTGGCTCGTAGATGCTTGCGACATGTCGGCAGGCCGATCAAGTTGTTGTCTCTCGCCTTGTCTGCTCACTCCTGCTCGACCTGCTTGGTACTCATCGAAGTGCCAACCGGTGCATTTGTCCATCCTTCTCTCTTTGCCCGGTTGTCCAAGGCCAAGGTTTTGAGCTAGGCTTATTTGGTTGAGGAGCTGCCTCATCATATTGCTTTGGTCGTCCATTCTCTAAGCTAGTTGGTCAACTCTCAGACTAAGGTCTACTTGACTTCGTGAATCGTGAGGAGAGAAGTGTGTGGAGCCCAATTGCACATGGGCTAGGGTTTCATTGGAGGTGTACGCGTGAGCGTGCGTTGAGCGTGGAGGCAAAGGAGGAAATGCTTGAAGTTGCTCCAAGATCAGGCCTAAGTCGGCGGTGGTAACGAGCCCATCTTGATGGGAGGTTCCACCATGTTTGGCGGTGGTGGCCGGTGCAGTGGTCTCAGCTACGAGTCGAGTAGGTTGCACAGTGGTGAAAGGTGGTGGTGCCACCATGTCAATCGCGGGATCATAGGTGGAGTGGCTTTGGGCCGTCGCGAATTTAGCCATCGCGGCGGTTTTGCCTCTCGTCTTCTTGCTTCCAACCATGGTTGTTTGGAAGGCTTCGGTGGATTGGAAAATAGGAGGAACGGATTCCTTGAGCACACGTTGAGTATAACTCATGCTCTCAATGAAAGCACCAATTTGTGGGAGAAAATTTCCCCACGAGAACATTCGATTGGAAAGATTCTCCTTTCTTCTTCGCCACCTCTTTCTCCCTGCAAAATAGAACAAATAAGGGGACCACACTCGGGAGGTGTTGGCCAAAGGCCCTTCGATGCCTAAATTAGTTCAATTGAATCGTATAGAAAACAATAGCTAATAGGGTACGAAGATGTGTTTATAGTGTAAACCGGGCGGCCGAAGCCTTATGTAAAAGAGGGAGAGAAAGGAGGTGGCTAGGGTTTGAGAGGAATTTTCTGCAGAGTTTCAATAGAGATTTTAGATGTACATCAACCCTTGTGTGTGGCCATCTTTTTATAGTAGTCTTGGAGGCTATGGTTTCATAGGAATAATTTCGTAGATAGAAAGGAATTATTCCTCCCTGATTTAGAATTGATTTGATTAATTAGGGTAAATCAAATCCCTACTTGTGGTAGGTATCAAATCAATTCCTAATTTGATTAGGTAACTCCTCATTTAATTGGGAATTGTGGTAGGAATCAAATCAATTCTCAACCTAATTAGGTAACGTTCTATTTAATTGGGCAATCCCTAATTAAATTGAGTAACTCCCAATTAGGCTGAATAACTCCCGATTAGGTCAAATAATCCCCAAGTGGAAGGAATTATTTGACCTATGGTGATTTAATTCGGTTCCCATAGAATTGGATCCTTGAATAATACAATACCATCAAAACAAAACAAAATAAAAAAACAGTTAATTTGGAAATCGCCAAATTAATAAAAATCATAAGTACTTAAAATCTTTAAATGGAAATTACAAGAGGATTTTGAGATCGTGTATAAGTTGGTGAGGTCTTAATATGAGAAAGTCGTTAACATGAAACATGCTAGAGAGCGAAGGGAGAATCTGTGTATCAACTTGTCCGCATTCGTTATACAATTTTTGCAATATTCAAGAAAGAGACAAAAGGCCCACCACTACCTACGTTAGCCCGCATATATACACATGATGGACGTGCCAGATAAATATACGATTTCAACAAAAATATTGTGCCTCATATAAACTCCACTATTATCTCGGTTAAGTTGGTTGGTTAAAACAATATTTTCATCCTTTTACACTCTAGTTCAATCTCTTCTTTATGTATAAAGCTAGTTTAGAATATCATTAGGTCAAACAAAAGACACTTTGTTACTAAAAAGCGAGAACTCGATCCCACTCTCTTTACATTAGAGTAAGACGCAAAGAACTTTACTATTGGAGAGAGAGAGAGAGAGAGAGAGAGAGAGAGAGAGTTTAACTACTAGTTTAGTTGTTCCTTGTTTTGTTGGCAAGCAAGTTGTGGCGTGATTTGATTTCTAGTCCACGTCCCACTTGACTAGTAATTTATCTTGTTTAATGTCTTGGTAATACAATGGTTCACCGAATCATGCAGCAGGAAACCAATTTTGGACACATAGGAAAAAAAATCCTCTTTTTCCTGTAAGAGGAAAATTATCTGAGCTTTATTTTATATCAAAGACAATAAGATATAAGGGTTAAAATGTAAAAAGACACAAGGACGGTGCAGGTAGAAGTAGAAGATTCGTTTCCCTTTTATATTAATTATCACATGGGTTTGTTCTTTGGATGGATGGAGCAAAAATCTACAATAATAAAGAATTCTTGTTTACCTTTCCATGATTTCCATCGAGATCCAGCACATGATGGGTTTGTATTCTTTTTGCTTTTTGCGTCTTTACCAAAACAGAATAAAACATCGCAAAAAAGAAAAAGATCTCTTGTTCTAATTTGTTGCACCTCGTGTGCTTATGAAAATCAGAATGTTAGTAAAGAAGGGTGCATTATTATTACTATAAATTATTATTATTATTATAAATTATTATTATTATAATTTGGAACAAAATGCTCATCTATCTGGAGCAGGCGGGCACAAGAGAGAGATTAGCGAGTGAACAATGTAGAGGAGCCGAAGAAACAGCATAAGATTCTCCTCCGAGACCATCTCCATCTTCACCAACCAACCAGGATTTGATTTCCCAATTTCCAATTTCCACTTTCCAATTCTTACGCCAGTGCCGTTGGAGTGACTGATTTCTCTGGGAAAGAAACAACGTAGGACTGAAGGCAGCCGCTGGTGAGATGAAGGTGTTGACCGGAGAAGGCGGTGGTGTTGGTGGGAAGACGGTGCTGGTCGGGGTGAAGTTAGATTCACACAGCAAGGAGCTGCTGACGTGGGCACTCGTCAAAGTGGCGGAGCCTGGTGACAATGTCATCGCCATCCATGTCCTTGAGGACCACCTCCACACCCCCTCTGGTCTGCTCTCTCTCTCTCTCTCTCTCTCTCTCTCATTTTGGTTTGTTTGTGATTGTTTTTTCTTTTTTGGGGGTTTCTGTGTTCTGTTGAATGAATTTGGTTTCTGGGTTTTGTAGAGGGGACTTCTTCTTTGCTCTCACTGGTAAAGACATTCGATTCTGTGCTCTCTGCTTATGAAGGTTTCTGCAACTTAAAGCAGGTTGAGTTCCTCATTTTTACTTTTTATTTTATGTTGACTTCTCCAGAGAAAAAACCACCTGAAAGAAATTTTTTTAATTTTAATTCCTTTGGAGGTTGAGAATATTTGAATTGTAAACAGGTTGATCTGAAGCTTAAGGTCTGTAGAGGCAATTCTGTCCGGAAGCTTCTAGTACAAGAAGCAAAATCATACAATGCGGCTGCTACAATTGTTGGAACTTCCAAAACTCACCATAGAATCGGGTCATCTGCCTCTGTTGCCAAGTACTGTGCGAGAAAGTTGTCCAGAAGTTTCTCGGTTTTTGCCGTTGATAATGGCAAAGTCGTATTCAAGAGGAACGGACCTGATAGCAATGCAGATAAAATTCAAGGTTTGGATAATTCTTCTTCTGGGTTTTGTTGATGTTAGTTCCAAGGATGATTCCTAGAGTGTGTTTTTGTTATAAATTTGTTTCTGGTGTTATTACTATGCTTAACTCTTTCATTTTTTTGCCTTGTCGATGAAACAGATAATGATCAGAACCAGAGTTATGTAAATACTAGTTTGTCACTGATCAAGAATGCAAAAGTACCTAATGATGCTAAACTTAATCAATGTCGACATCTAATAAGAAAATCTTGTTCCAAGTGTGGCAAGAAAACGCTAAAGAGAAATTGTGAGAATTGTGCAGCGGATTCAGTTTTTCGGGAAACCTCTGGGACTCAATTACCTGATGAGTCGGAAGGGGAAGACGGTGAAGAAAATTCACTGGCCTTGGTACCAATCCAAAGACTCGACATTTCATCAAACTCTATCAAGATTCAAGATTCACAGTGTTTCAAACCTGGTTGGTCACTTCTTCGTCACACATTTCTACCAAAGCGACAATGCATGGAGAAAACTGAGAAAAAGACATCTGTTTTTGGATGGGCCTTGAGACCATTGAGCTGGAATACTTCAGCTGTTGTCTATCCTGATCACAAACTGGTGAATTCTGGACAGGATCAAGATTGTTCTTCCATGCTGAATGGAATAAGTGGAGCAATTGTGCCGTTTGGGCCTAACGCAGTCTGCCCTCCTCTATCTCCTCACCATGGCATGGAGCCCCTTCCTGAAGAATTTTTGGATTTATGTAAGAAATATTCATCCAGTTGTAGACTGTTTTGCTATAAGGAACTTTTGTTTTGAGTTGACTCAAAGTTGGATGTTATACTAACAATTCTTAAATTGCATTTTTCAGAGAACATGGTTGGTAAAGGTGGCAGTAGTAGTGTTTATAGAGGGTGCCTTTCAGATGGCAAAGAGTTGGCAGTGAAACTCTTGAAGCCATCTGGAGATATCTTGAACGAGTTTGTTCATGAAATTGAGATACTCACAACTTTAAACCACAAGAACATAATCTCCTTATTTGGATTCTGCTTCGACGAAAACAACTTACTTTTGGTCTATAATTTCATATCAAGAGGAAGCCTAGAAGAGAACCTCTATGGTATCTATTTCTTTGGACTCGAAAACTTCACTCTCTTTTTCCTCTCCCTATTTTCAGTTTTCTTAACTCATAAAGGATAATTTCTGATCAAGGTAATAAGAAGGATGGTAATGCATTTGGTTGGAAGCAGAGATATAATGTAGCCGTAGGTGTAGCAGAGGCCCTCGATTATCTACACTATGGCTGTGAAGAACCTGTAATCCACAGGGATGTGAAGTCTTCCAACATCCTTCTTTCAGATGATTTTGAGCCACAGGTTCTGTGCTATAACTTCAATGTTCTTTGTTAATTATTTGAAGCTTCATCTGCTCATCCCCTTATCATGGTTCTGCAGCTCTCAGATTTTGGACTTGCTAGTTGGGCATCAACGTCATCAGATATTAGTAGCACAGACGTTGCAGGAACATTTGGGTGTGTAGTGTCTTCTTTTAGTCTATATATTCCCCTTCACGTATTCTTTCTAACACTCTTTACTGTGCCAGTTACTTGGCTCCAGAATACTTCATGCATGGCAAAGTGAGTGATAAAATTGATGTCTACGCATTTGGGGTTGTAGTCCTTGAGCTTCTTTCAGGGAGAAAACCAATCTACAGTAAAGATACAAAGGGCCAGGAAAGTCTGGTGATGTGGGTAAGTTCAAACATGGGGCATGGAATTATTTTCGTGTCTACTCTTTCTGAATATTGTGATTGTCGTGAATATGTAAGATTAAATGGAATGCAACTTACTTCTGAGAAAGGAAGCACATTTTCTATTTTTTCGTGTCCAATAAATGTGCTATTACAAAGAAGTCTTGATTTATGTCAATGAATGGGGGTTGATTCCAGGCAAAGCCAATATTGAAGAGTGGGAACGTGGCCCAACTGTTAGATCCGAGCCTGGGTAGTGACTACGACCAGGATCAAATTGAGAGAATGGTTTTGGCTGCTAACCTTTGCATTAGACATACACCTAAGCTTCGGCCTCCAATCAACCTTGTAAGTTTAATTTTTGCTTTCACTTTCAGCTTTGAATTTTACTTAACTATTTGGTTTTTATATAACTTCAGATTTATTTATTTGGTGATGATTTCTTTTTTCAATCCCAGGTTTTGAAGCTTCTCCAAGGAGATGAGGAAGTTACAAGGTGTGCAAGGCAACAGGTCAGTGCATCAGAAGAACTTGAAGCATTGGACGGAGAAGCACTTCCTTCTAACATTCAATCCCATCTTAACCTTGCACTGCTAGACTTGGAAGATGATTCCCTTTCTACTAGCAGTGGTGAGCAAAGCATCTCATTAGAAGATTACTTGCAAGGGAGATGGAGCCGCTCGTCAAGCTTTAACTAGCCACCTTTTCAGTTTGAAACTCTTGAAAATACACATGGTGGTATATTAGTAGGGTTCCTTTGTACATTCCTTTGTGTCTTTGTTCAGCCAGAGTTGTTGGTTGAGTCACTTAAACAAGGTCCTGGAAGTGAGGCTGTTCGCCAGAGGTTTGACCTCCTCCTTGATCTAATCGTTGTATCGTAGCCTGAGTGTCTTAAGCTGTTTTGCCCTTGAATTCACTAGTCTCTCTGTTCTTGAGGCAAATGGATTAGAGAAAAAAGTGGCAGGACACTGAGTATCCGTTCTGTTCTGGTCAGCATAATAATCGTTTCTTTCCATATGTTGTACATGAAGGGTATCTGATATTAGGAGATAGGTCACGGCATCCTTAACTTTCCGGAGTTTTCTTCTGTTTTCATCTCATCTTTTTAATTGTATTTTGCTACTATTTTAAGTATTTCTATTGAAGAGACTGTTCAGACTGCTGATAAAAAGAAAAAAATGAAAAATTGTCCAGACATTTTTTTTGCTGTATCGGCGGTGATATTGAAAGATGCTAGGCAAAATCACCTGGGTTGTGGTGCCAAGTTAGATTACTAGCTAGATGACCAGCATGCTCTAGTGAATGACTTGTTTGTGGCGGAAACTCTAATTTGGCACTTGGGGGGAAATCATGTCAAGCAAGATCTACCCTAAATCCTTCCTACTCCCATGAATACCCTATTAAAAAACCCATGCTAGAGAACACTCAACCTTTTTCTAAAATCACATTAAAACCACTACCTTTCAAGCATCTTCTTTCATTAAGTGTAAGTGTTGTTGAGGAAGCATGGTTACTATGGTACACAGTTTTTCAATGCTAGGGGCTTTCCCTATGCCAAATCACACGGTAAGTGAGGAGTCAGTCCAGGGATTCAGATAAGGAGCCACCAAAGTGACCAGGTAAGAGCATATATATAGAGGCCGAAGAGCATCTGCGATGGTTAGGATCAATGCAATTTTATTGCATGAAGTTAAATTAAAACAGTAAAATTTCACTTGCAATGGTGTGATTTAGTTCATTGCAATACATGCAATTGCAATAGAGGGTGCTATGTGATGAACCCTCTATTGTAATTGCAATAGGCTAACTATGGAACCTATATGCCAATAAATAAATAAAAAAAAATACAGTAATTAATGCATCATGTTGTTAAGAGCATCCGCAATGGTTGTTCAATAGTTCAATGAAATAGTTAAATGCAATAGAAAAAATACAAATTTATAAATAAACTCAATCCTAGACATGTATTTATAAAAAAACCCAAGCACTATTTAAACATAGAAACTCACCCAAAGTCAACTTTTTGGGTGTGTTTATAAATGAGTTTTGAGTGTGTGTAATGATGGGTTTTGGGTGTGTTTATAAAGTGTTTTGGGTGTTGGGTTTTTTTATAATTTCAACCTCCATTTTGGGTGTTTTAGTGAAACATACATTGATTAATTTATTTTTTTTCAAATATATTTAAAATTGGTCTCTTTTTAAAAATCTCTTTCAGAATATTGCACTAATTTTTAGTGTTGTTAAATTTATCCCTTTTATTTTATTTGAGTACGTAAAAAAACAGATAACTAGATATGACTATTGAATTGTACCATTGCAAGTAAAACTACAGTTCAATTCAATATATGTCAAAAAAGAACAACTAAGTATTTGTACAAAGTTAACTATGAGGAGAAGTAGGTTACTTGGAGACTACTCCAAATCAATTACAAATTACAATCAACAAATAAAAGGAAACTAAATAACAATTAAATAACTTTCCAATTTCTCAATTTTCTCCCCAATATGCTTTAAGCTATACAAGTTCTTCTTCCATTCCCTCACTCCCTCCTCCTTCAGTATGGTTAACTGCCTGCTGAGACGTTTGTCCAAATCATGAAGCTTCTTGGAATATTTGTACTGTTTGAAGGCATTCCACCGGCTAATGGTGGAGCACTTGGTAACGAGTGCAGCGCCTTCCTTCATTATTTCTTTGAAATTTTCTACTTCATCCTTGGGATCACCCAACACATTGCAATACTTTTCTATGTCTGGGATCAGTGGTTTCATCGAATGTATCCTGGAATTGAGATATCCTACCTGGGATTTAAACGTCATTGTCTTTTCAGCAAAACCCAAATTCTCAAACAAAACCCGCCATCTTCTTCTTCTTCTTCTTCTTTTCACGCTTGACTCTAATCTCTAATCTCTCTCTATAATTAATTAAATAAAAGCGGTATTTATAATCATCTAAAACCTAGAGACAATAGGATAAAAGCCCTACTATCCAATTTTTAAGTCCAAAGTCCAAAAAACCTGTTTCGCGGGCTCATATTTGAAATCCCAAACTAAAAATAAATTGGAAAACACCCACCATCCTTGAAATAGCTCCAAACTTAGGCTAGCATGATTTCTGTTCATCATGTATGAGTAAATTAGTCAGCCCTTGATGTCCTGTTAAACTGCAGGCTATCTTTTACGTAGAATGGCGCAAATGTGAGTGTGTGTTTGTGTATGTTTATTTATTTTGTTTTAGTTTGCTACATCATTTATTTAAGTGTAACTTGCAAACCAAAATTTATAGGCCTTGTTTGGTAGGCTAGCTTGGACTAGTTAGGATGAGCTTTTAAACATTGAATTGGGCTGGCTTGGACTAACTAGGCTTTGAGTCCGGTCCTATTCATTTTTGCACAAAACAACAGACTTGAGTTAAATTTTTTTTAATAAATCAAAATAATAATTTTGATTAACAATAATCATATGCAAAATTCGAACTTTTTGCCTCAGTGTTTCTTTTATTTTTTTTTCTTCAGTATCTTTCTTCCTCTTTCTAATCAAAGAAAATACAAACTAAAAACAGCATTGAAATAAAATAAAAAGAATGATGCAAAATTTGGATGGGAAACCAGATTTGAAAGATCTTCGAGACGTTGAACAAACCAAACTACCCATAAATGCAATCAAAATATCCCCAAATTGCTAGATAGCCTTACAGTTTCTATCCATTTGCATATGAAAAGATATAATCAACCACTTCTCAAATTCGCAAAACATAACAAATTTTTTATTTTATGATGAATTGGGATTTGCATACAAAAATCATAAACACCCACGTCTCAAGTTCCAGTTGATCGATCACAAGGCATCAAAGATCAGACTCCAATAAAACCATTTGTCCCTAATAAAACCCCAATACACCAATTTTACACAAGTTCTCTTAAATCATCACAAATGAAGAAAATTAAGTGAAAAATAAATAAAATAAAATGTACTCAACATCTAACCCAAATCTTCAATTCTGGGAAACAGAAAGATGAATGAATGTTTTTTTCCAAAAAAAAAAAAAAAAAAAAGAGATCCAAAGAAACAAGAACAAAGAAATTAGTTTTTAAAAAAATCAGAAGAGAGGAGAGGAGAGACAAATCTCATGTCCATTTTAATTGAAAAAGTCTTATCTAGTCCAACCCACCAAACAGGGCCATAGTTTACAGTGGAGAGCAGGAATACCTCTGTCCAGTTATTTAAGAGAGGGAATATAAATTGTTCAAAGTTATTCCCAGCTCAAATCCACAATTTGGTTCATAAACTTGTTTTAAGTGTTGGAAAAGAAAGTCAGAAATTCATCATTTTTTATTTTTTATTTTTATCATCTTGGGTAACCACAACTCATACATTAAGGGTCATTTAAAAACTGAATGAGCAAACCACATCAAAGAGTTTCGAGATAACTGAATTATTCATATTCAATTGATAAAAAAATACATCTCATTAACCAATCTAGCCACATAGTCGCAACAATGAGTTGCCACGAGCTTATTTCTCTTGCAAAAACATCACATGCTCATTAACCAGTGTGACAGTCACAACTAGTCACTTCACTTCACTTGAGAGATATTTGCATTAGGTCGCGTGACGAGAGAGATATTCACATTAGATAAGGTGCGGATGATTTCTTTCATTCTTCTAACCTCCTCCAATTTGGCGTAGTATTGAGTTTGAGAATGTGATAATTGAGTTCGAACATGTGATATTTGAGTCTTTTTCTGTAAAACCATTAATCCCAAGAGATGCTTCGCCACTGCTCGAACACTGAGGCCCGGGCGGTGCTTCTCGTCCATCAGCTTCAGAATGCCCTTTGGGGTTACCTTTACCTTGCCCAACTCCAACTGGATCACTGCCTCCACAAACTTCTTATGATGCTCCAGTTTCCATGAAAACGACATGTCGTCCTCCTTCTCCTCCTCCTTCTTATTAGTGTTAAGCCGTTCCAAGTCTCTCATCAAAGCACTGTGAGCGCTAGTTTTCTGAAAACCGCGAGAAGGGATTTTCTGGAAACGCTTGAAGTTGGAGATGTGGGTCAAGAGAGTTGACCGCGGAAAAAGCCTCAAGGCCTCGTTGTTCATGAGCTCCACAATCAGGATCGTCCGCCTGGCTGTACGGATTCTGAGATCATCCAATTCTAATCGGACCATGGTGTCCACGAATTGCTTGTGGTGCTCCAGCGTCCACTCGATTGTTTCCACACTTGTTCGTTGTGGCCTCCTCTCATCGTGATTTCCTCTGTTCACTTCCATATTGATAATTCTGATCTCTCAGTCAGGAAAGTGTGAGTTATAGGCAAGGAAGTCCTTGTATATATAGTGATTACAGAGCATACCTCTCCTACTTGTATCAGGAAACTAACCAAACTCTTTACCCAATTAAAAAAGGAAACAAACCTTTCCGTAATTCAGTATGGGCCTAAATATGAAGTTGAGCCCAGCCCGTCTATCAGTAGAGGCGATGCCAATTTGAAAGATGAACAAAATTATATAGTTGCTCGTTACTTGCAAATCCCACATATGCAATAATAATTCATTAAAATTTCAAAAAGTTTTTTTTTTCTTTTAAAATACAAATGATAATACAAACTACAAGGGATAAGGAGGTTTGTTTCTCTCTCACAAACACGCACGCTACTACTGTACTATAGGGGTTCGAATATGAGACGATTCGTCTACAAGTCAATTCTTTTTTTCCACTATACTATTAATTTTTTAAAAATAATGATTTAAAATCACAGAGTAACGCCGCGCAGCTATACTCTTTTAATATATTGTATTTAACAGTATAAAAATTTAAAAGCCGCGTGGCTATACTATTAATCTAGGAAACATTTTAAAAAAGCGTATAGCCGAGCGGCTATACTATGAATTTAAAAAATAATTTAAAAACACCGAGTATAGCCGCGCAGAGGTACACTTTTAATATATTATATTTCAACAGTATAGCCGTTAGGCTCTACTTTTTTTTTTTAAAAGACCCCGTATAGCCGCACGGCCGTACTACTTATTATAAAAATTATAATTTTGGCAAGTTACAACTGAAAATTTCCGCCTCTATATAATATTTTACAATAATTTATTTTAATATTTTAATATATTATTTTTAATCAATAATATGTGGAAATTATGTCTATAGTACATGAAGTTTGTGTGTATTATTGAAAATTTTGTAAAAAATACGTGTATTGAACATGAAAAATACATACGTGCGTGTACAGTTCGTGTATTTTATGTTTGCTTTATTATATTTATAAAAAAAAACTTGTATTTTGGCGAGCCTTTAAGATGTGTACGGAAAACGGAAGTATTATTGAAAAATACATACGTACATGTAGAATATGAGTATTAAATGGGAAAAATACTAAATTATTTATATGGATAATAACTCTGAAAAAGTAAAAAATCAAAAGGAAGTATTATACGAGTATTATATGGAAAACAAAAGTATTATTGAAAAATATATACATACGTGTACAATACGAGTATTAAATGGAAAAATACTAAATTCTTTATATGAATAATAACTCTGGAAAAGTAAAAAATCAAAAGGGTAGAATAGAGACTTGGGTAATGGCGTAATAGTAATGGATAAGGCTCTAAACTACTCTTATTTATAAACGAAAAGAAAATTGGGAAAAAAAATATTTTTTATTTTAAAAAAAAAATTATAGTTTACAAATGGAGTGTGTATTTATAGTTTACAAGTGTAACTTGCGAAAGTGCAATCCTAAAGCGTCCGACTAGTATATTCCCCCCCTCCCACATATGTTTCCAAGCCTTAATTTTAGAGGAAAACATATTTTCAACAAGTAGCTTAAATGTGATAAAATGTTCGAAAACTTCATATGCATAGGAATATAATAACAGATAATACATAAAATATCTAAATAGTCCTTAATAATGTAGGTGTCTATCATATAAAGTTTACCAAAGCAAAGTATGTGGTCAACATGTAGAACAAGAAACCAAGAACACTTTCTTTTTAGAAGCCTTGGCAAAAGAAAGATCCAAGCACTCCTTCAGGCATCTTGCATCACCAAAAAATTAAAGCCCTAGAACCCAATAAAATTTGTCCTTCAGAAATAATGGCTCAAAATTAGGGGAAAATAAAGATTCAATTAGCCAGTCCTAGAAGCTCTCTTATTAAACTAGGCCATTCTATTACATAAGATGTGAACTTAAAACTACTAAATATTCATCGAATGATGTAAAGCAACTTAAGAAATTGGTATTAGCGATTATTAACAAGCACTTCATACAATGTTACACTTGAAAATGACTCGTAGCAATGTCATTATTGTCTTCCTAAGATAATAACAAAAATGTCAACAAGGTCCAGTCTAGTGGAAAAATGATCTTAACTTACAAATCAGTAGTCTCATGTTCGAAACCCCATGAAACATTGAGGATGTGTGAAAAGCTTACATCCCCTTGTAATTTAGACCATCGCTTGTTTAAAAAAAAAAAAAAAATTAAAAATAACAAAAGAAGATACTCATCGTGTGAATTGTTTGAATTAACCAATAAACAAAGCGACCACAAAACAAATCACATCGCCTTCTAATTTACTAACCAAAACTACGAGACAGAAAACATATATGGGCATAGGACAGTCGTACAAAATACAGCATCATATTTTTAATTGACAGATTTAACCAAGAACATAATAGTAATAATAATAACGTAGTCCTTTTCTGTTTCCATGTTTCATTGCTTAGCAACATTATCTTATATCAACACCCTTTCAAACTCCCCAGTTATATCATCTAAGTTAATAACATTTCTCTCATTTCCTTTCACTGTACCAAGTCTATAAAGCTCAGAATTCAGCTCAGCAATTTGCTTTTGTATCTTCTCTCCCTTATCTGGTAATCTTGAAACCATAGCCTGCAGACATTGTTCAAAAATATAATCACCAAGGGCGAATCAATTAATAGGATTAAAACTAAAATGAGCACAAATGCTTGTTCCAAAGAAGGATATCTTCACTGAAAACCAGGCGTTAAATGCTAACAAAGTAGATAATGAGTAAGAATACCTTATTTGCAAGAGTTTGTGACAGCCTATTGATTCTCTGTTTAATCTCCGATTCTGTCAGTTTACCCGCATCATTTGGTGAAGAAGGCTTCTTGTTTAATATTACATCTGGCTTGAAAGCATATTCAGCCCTGTCAACAATGAAAACCAAAAATATCATCATATGCAATAATCTCTTTCCTGTTCACAAATGGGATAAACGCCATGATTCCATAGAGCTCTACCCGTTCACATTGCATTCGAGTAAAGAACTTGAAGATGACCTTCCTGCAGTTGAAGCTCCCCTGATCCTGTGCCCAGTATAGCAAAGTAAACAGATAAGATTTCAGAAGTAACTTGTCATAAATGCCCAATACATACTCAGTATTACCAATATCACAGTTTTTACTGGGAAGCTTTCAAACGATATTTCTGGGTCAAACTGAGTCTCACACTAATCTGCTTTTAGATTACAACTAGCTAGTACAAAGATGTAAATGGAAACAACAATAATCCGACAAAGCTCAGAATGATTAAAAAAATGGAAACTCACTTCCGGACTAATATAAAGTTTGTTGTAGTTTACCTTTTTACAACGAGCAAAAGATTCCAAAGAAAAGAAGACAAAAAAGTCTAACAATAAATCTGTTCTGGCGAAAGTTAAAGAAATAAATGGGTCTACCTTTCAGCTTCCTGCTCTTCCTCTACAACTGGTACAGGTGCTGTCTTGGAGAAGAGTAAACTGTGATGACTGACTCCTGCTATGCCTTGTGTTTCCAAGAATTCAATATGGGACTTAAAGGATTCGTCCCTACAGTAAACAGTAGAATTGCAAGAAAATCTTGAATGGAGTGTATACTCTGAAAGTCAATTCAAATATGAATCCACGAAGCACGCCCAAAAAAGAGATGGAATTAAACTACATTTGAGGCTAAAACAATAAACATCTTTTGCACCAAAAAATCAAGCACATACAAGTAATATTCTAGATTCTAATTCTATAAACTGCACAAAGCTCCCTACTAGGATTTGAGGATTACTCTTTAATCTAGGAACACAAACACTACTTATGTCGCTTCAAGTCAAAAAAAGACTATTACAAGTATTTTAACTTCAAAAAAAATTCCTAACAATTTTATCAATTTCATATGTTATTCAAGGACAGGAGTGATCATATTATGCAACATAATTCGTCAAATTAAAGAATATACAAACAAACCTCAGTCACTAAAATATGACAACCAGTCTTATGTCAGATTCTTACGCATTATTAGTACCCTATTCTATGTTTACCAGTGAAAGAACAAACTAAAAGAAACATCTAATATAGCATCATCTGGGAGAAAAAAAGAATACAATAACTTGTGAACACATATATGAATGAGAGAGAGAGAGAGAGGGAACCATGAGATGGAAAAAAAAATTCTATAATTTCAAATACACATGTCAAATTTAAGAACAAAAAGAGCAAATTGCAGAATCTAATCTCAATCTCAAATATATGCACATCCAAACACGGATTTATGTGTCAACGAAAAAAAAAAACAGATTCATGTGCATTTATTATCATAAAAATAACATAGTTAAAAGTCACAAATATTAGGCCCGACGATTGCATACATTGTGTGCTGGCTATCATGCTCCTCATATAGCTGCTGCTGAGTAATGGAGATATCAAAACCTTCTTTTGGGAGATTAAAAAGTTCACATAGATCCTGAAATATTAATAAAAGTTAAGTATAGAATGAGTGTTCCTCTTCCTCTAATGTCAAGGATATAAAAATGCTCACTATAGCAGCAATTACAACTTTGTAAGCATTCACCTGTTGACTAAAGTACCGCATCTGTTCTTTATGCTCGGTTGCAGTTTTAAACAATCCCCCCTTGTATATCTAAACAATATATTTTTGAAGAGTTAATACGATGATGTGATGTTTCAAAGTATGAAGCATAACTGAACCACACATAAAATAAATAGATATTCAAAGAGGAAGAAATGCTATCACAGCATAGCATAGGAGGAATGGCAAGTTTTTTATAACACGAAAAGACAATAACCATTTAAGCAGCTATACTTAAAGTCCTAAAGATATAGGATGTAGTGTTCGCTACTTGAAGCAATCTACATAATAAACCACAGTACAGGACCCCGTAATACAGCATCTAAATAGAGGGAAAATAACCTGTTTTCTGTATATCTTCTCTTCAACAGTCCCACAAGTCATTAATCTATATACAATGACATCCT